TCCGAGTATATCGAGGACAGCACTCCAGCGCGCAAGCGGTGCAAAAGAAAGGCCCGACTGCTCATTATCACACACCTAGGGGCCTAGATGTAGTACTCTTCTTAGGGAGTCATGCTACAAGAAGAGGCAAGGAAAACATAAGACAGTTCAACTGTTTACACTGTATTTACCCCGATTGTGCATCAGCGTATCCCTGCGAAGACGATGGGAAGAGGCTTCAACGTACTTCAGTACAGTGACAGGGTCAAAGTTTGAACAACTTGAAGAAAGACTTTCTTTTTTTTACTTGTGCAGCCTTTCAGTTCGCTCGCAAAGGTCCCGAGATCTCAGGCATTGAGCGTCAAGTGGAGAAGAGGTAAGGACGTCTGCAGGTGCGACACGAGCCCATCATAGCTCATGATGAAGAATTCGAAGAACTGTCGAATTGGGGATATCATTCAAGGCGGCGGTAGGGCGAGGATCCTGAAGCATTCGTCGGACATTGACAAGATAGCATTTGGGGCTTCGTGCTAAAGGAAGGGTGGATTTTGGGGTGGAAGTGCCCCAAGGACGAGGGAGCGTTGGGTATTGGTTAGCCTGGGAAGATATTGAAAAATAGCACAGTGAATTTCAACCTCGAGCAGTTTTGAGCACGCGTATTACTCGCCACCGAGTTCACACGTGAAATGCGAGATTTCTTGATACGAACGTGTAGGGACATGCATCAAGGTATGACTGTAAGGACTGACCTGGGACTGACTTTCTGATGCTGCCTCGGGCACGTGGCTGATCGGCAGAGCTCGGCAAAGATCACTGGTAATCAATCGCGTAGTACATCCGTTCAACTCTTACACTCACCCACGGCTCTCCTCGGCAGCCTGCCTCGGTGTATGGCGGTTCTGTGCGCTGATATCGGCGCATCACGGCGTTAGGAACCCTTTACAGCAATCTCTGACACGACCCCCCAAAGTTCAAGAGTATCACTGGATTGAAATAACCTGATGGATAATATGCTTATTCGTTAATGGCTTGCCCCTCAATGACTTCTGAGCTTGAAAACTTCTCACCTCGGTAACCGGATATCCTCCTTGTATGAGCCGCAGACCGGGAGACCGAGAGGATAAAAGGTCGGACGCCAACCCGTTTTCTTCATCTTGTTCAATATGCTCTTGTCCCAGAAGTCATCCTCTATCTTCTCCCCCAAGCGTCTGGGCCAGCTGCTTGCGGTTCCGACTGAGGCCGAACTAGAAGCTTGCTGGGAGCTCTGTCGTCTTCACAATAACATTGGCTTCTGGGTCGTGTGGATTCCGACTGGTTGGTGAATGGTATACACTGAGGTTCTCTAGCTCATGATTGCGTGCACTCATAGCGTGGTCTATTGCCATGGCGTATCACGCGCACCCCTCTCTCACAGCTTTGGATTGCCTCTACACGGCGGCGTTCTTCGTCCCACTGTGTTTTGGTGTGAAGTCTCTGGTATGTGAACCTCATCAGTATACTGCCTCAATGTCAAGCTTCCTTTGTACAGATTATGACTATTGATGATATCTTGGACTACGACATCGATGCATTGGTCGAACGCACCCAAACCCGGGCCATTCCCCGCGGCGCGATCTCCGTAGACAGAGCGTGGTTATTCTTCGCGCTCCAAGTTGTCATTGGTGTCACACTTGCCTTCAAACTGCTGACCCCAACGAGGTACGTGTCTTCTCCGTTTCAACTGACACCAAGCCCTCGACTTATCCCCAATTCACAGTCTTCACATCTCAATGTTCGCATGGCCGTTGTATGTGATTTACCCAACATGCAAGGTATTTTCGTGTGATCTACAGTTTCACAAGCCCACGTCCTTACTCTGTCTCAAGCGCTGGATGAACTTTGCTCCAATCCCTCTCGTAAGTCGTTTCTCGCGTCCTTGACCTCCCTAACCATCTTGCTGATATCTCCAAGGGCTTCATGTTTGCAGTGGGTGTCTTCATGGGATGGGCCGAGCTCAACGCAGATGGCCGAATTCCATATTCTACCCTGATACCAGTGTACCTGAGCTGTGTGTGTTGGACGATTGCGTATGAGACTGTATATCAACACCAGGTAAGAAAGAGCTCGCTCTCGAGATGTAATTCCTTTCTCATCAAACCTGTAACAGGACAAAGTCGACGATATGAAGATCGGCTTGCACTCCCCAGCTCTGTGGTGCGCCGAGTACACCATCCCTATCTGTACCTGCAGTGCCATCGGGTTTTTGTCCCTTCTGTCGTACGGTGGCATGTTGAATGGACATGGACTCGCTTTTTATCTTGGCGTTATTGTGGCCGGCATGTCGTTACTGGTGCCGCTGGTCAAGACCGATATAGATCGCCCTGTGGATTGTAAGAATCTCTTCCTAGGAACACCACGCGTCGGGCAGATTATTCTGGGTGGATTAGTTGCCGATGCATTAATACACAGGTGGATGGCTGGCGTGCCGTTCTAGTTGGAACACTGAAACCTTGCATAGATTTTCTGTACTATTTATTTACCAAAATTGTCGTGAGCCTAGAATAATTTCTTGATCTACCATCTTTCGATGAGAGCAGTTTGAACAGCCACTCTGTCTGGTCGACATCAACTTTGTCGATCAGGTTGTCCTGTTAGCTGTGTGAAAGGTTACCAAGAAAAGTCGTAAATTCGTAAACAACAAATGCGCAGATACATATCTACCGTAAACTACAATCGCATAAATAATTCGTCTGTCATCTCAAGCCTTCCGTAAATCCGCGAACAAATTCGCGCACTGGACGAAGGAACCATCCTATTGCGGACGGTGGCTCCTGTGTCGGCTCCTCATAGGCCTCGTTTCGAGGACGATTCGTTGGAGGCACACCCTCGTCGTCATCGTCCTCTTCCTCTTCCAAAGCCCGCTTCTTCCCTCTCACAGGACTTTCGGTATCGGGCGGCGGCACCAATGTGATGTCAGTGGAACCAGAGACTGAGGAAGCAGCGGGTCTATGTACGAGTGTCAATGCAACCACGAAATCAGGATGATCGACACTCACGGTACGCATGCAAGTTTATGAGTCTCCCAGTTCTCCAAATTATACTCGGAGCCAACTAGCTGTACATTCTTCCCGCACTGTTTGCATTCAATGTGCCGTGGAGTATGCCCTTTGACTTGTGCGTCGTTGATAACGCGCATCTTGCGCTCTGCGAGGGCTACGCGCTCACTCTGCCTGAATAGTATCGTGAGCTTTGAATTATAAGAGTATCGTAAGGACTAACTGCGAATCCGAACATGTCTGTTGATGCCGCTTCCAATTGTAGAGCGAATATGTCAAGGTCGAATTTGACTTGACCCACTTCTGGCAGCGCCTGCACAAGACTTGTTCCTTTTCTATCTTCTCGGCGCGAGGGTCGGCTTCAAGAGTGGCCTTGCGCTCTTCCTCAGTCTTGAGGTTCAATGGCGACTCCTTGACTGCACCGCTTTCGGCCTCCTTGTCGCTGAGGACAACATGAAACCTGTTAGTTCAGCTGAAGAGAGAAAATCACGTACAACATCGACTTGGGAACCTTCTGATCACACTTCTCTCGATGTTTTTCCCATGGGCGAACAGCGTAGGTTTGCTTCTTGCCTAGACTAACATGTTTCTGACACCGCGTACACCAGACGCGGTGTGGATCAATCTCAGAGCACTCTGGTTGATTCTTGAAATAGGCAATGCGCTCTGGTTCCGTTCGCCGGACTCTGCTCAGACTGACGAAAGACTCGGCAACAGATGCATCGTCGTCGATTTCGGATTCTGTCTGTGTCTCTTTCCTGGAAAATGATGAGCAGACGTGCCATGGTTCAAGTGTAGACATACTGCAGGCTGGAACGAGGTTTTGCGAATCGTCCAGGTGGTGGTTTTCCAGTAGATGATGTCGCGATGCCGCGCAGAGAGCCCATGGATGTTGTACGGGCATGAGCGGTGCTTAATGGCTTCTTCGCCTGTGGTTCTTTCGGCGACGGCACCCTATACGTTATGATGATGAATTTCCGATAACAAAAGGTTACCAAAGCGTACTTAAAGTCGATCTTCTTGACTCCGGCGGTGCTGGTGGGCTGAGAACTTGTGAGACGACCGGTAACCATGTAAATAACACGTCCAACCTTGTCCGGAGTCTTTTTAACCTTATTGATCGTCGTGTTTGACTTTATGTCCATTGGCATCTCAGAGTCCGACGCAGAGAAAAGACTGCGAATTGTCAGGAAATGAAGAGAGTTGTGCATAAAACACACTCTGAGTGATCCTTGCTCTTCTGCTCGACAGCGGGTTAGTCGAGTTGGAAAGGTGGTGAGATGACGGACCTTGTGGCGGTCTAGATAGGTGTATTTAACGGCCTTTGAACTAGCAAGGGAGGATAAGAGTGGCGGAAGACAATGGCGTCGTGAACAGACCTCGGTGATAGTTCCATTTTGAGTTCACTCATTGTCCGGTCCAGCCTCGTGGCCCGGATTTGTCCTTGCTTGTACACCCGTCCATGCTCAACTAAATCACCCCTTGCTAGCAAAACACTAACGTTCTTGAGCTCTTTACTGGAATGAAACGGCAGATCTATATCTGTACTTGGACCTAGTATAATGCTCTCGGAGTGGGCTTTAGCTCCGGATCGTTTTGTAGGCTGGTCGCACGTAGCTCAAAATTTCGTCCTTGTCCTCTCAAATCGTACTGGAATTGAGGTTTGTTGCAGTGAGAGGCTTGGGCGTAAAGGGCCATGAATCTGTGTGTACTCAATTGGGGCCAACCGGGAGGTAAAGATGTGCATGCAATGTCATTGAACTTGCATGCACGACACCAATGATACTGGCCTACACCTTCAGTGAAACCTCGATGCCAATTCAGCTTACAATCATTCAGCACGCCCTCTTCCCCAGCATCAGTTTCTTGTCTAATCTAGCATTTTCAGCATCCTTCAATGAGATGATCTGTCAGTGGAATATCCACCTATCGCAAGACTGTACGCACCTGTCCTAGTCTTGAAGAAAAATAAAAACATTTAACCTCTACCGACGGTGGGACTCGAACCCACAGCCTTTGCCTCAATCACGAGATTTGAGTAGGAAAGCAACGCGCTACCATTACGCCACGACGGCTTGGAGCTATTGGAAAACTACACCCAATGGACCGTTAGTCTCCGCCCTTTTTTACCTTACGGCATCCGGAACTGCAGATCTTAAAGCCTCTATCACTGGGCGAATCAATCTTGATAACGTTCAGTCGAAGTTGAATGTACCTAGAGGATCTGCATTGCTTTTGACATGCTGGCGGATGTTCCAATACAACAGGTTCGACGATGCTGTAGCATGAAGCTTTTCGGTGAGACTCTCAAACACCACGCCAATTCTTTACCTTCACATGTAAACTCTTGGTCTCTGGGTGTGCCATTCAGATGGGCACCTCTACGCTACGCTAAATGATACGGAATACTGGCTTGTCGGATTTCTGTTTCTCAGAGGCTCGAAACTGAGCAAATAACTAGTCAATCCAGTTCGCGCCTTCAAGTTCATCTCAGTCTATAATCCGTCCCGGAGCTACTCGTGGGGAACGAAGCCCATTGACAGCTTGAATGATGACTCATTGATCGAGGTAGGGTATTTAAGGCGCTGAACTCAAAGGCTTGTCTCGAACCAGAACGGCCATCTGCGTCAACCCCACGATGTCTTCTCCCATTGAACTGTTCCCTAATCCTTCGCACTCTCTGGCTAATTTCACTCTTCCTGGACCTACTGAAGATTCCACAAACGCGCTCCGAGAGATACTTCGAGACAATCATGCAAAGCACCACGGATACTTCAACCGCACCTTGAAATTCCAAAAGTAGGTGCCTACGGATGCTTGGTTGGTCAACGACTGGACATGTCTTCTGCAGCCATATCACGCATCACATACTCGCTGTCTGGTCCTTGGGTGCCAACCGATCTATTATTGAAGCTGCGTACAAGCATGAAGCGCCTTTGCAGCATCCGGTCATTGAACCACCCGGTGTCATCACTGCGAACAACTATGACGAGCATCTTGGTGATGACAAGTATGTGATCGCCTCTCCGCTGCAGTTCTCTCGCGTCTCAGTGATTGTACTTGCAGCTACTTCTCTGCATATGTAGGGTTTTTCCGTGGTCAATTGGAACAGAAAGGTACTACAGTGCTTTTGGATGAGTTTGTATTTTCGCCATCCGCAAACGGCGAGAACGAGAAGCTGTCGAAGGCTATCAGTCGATTCATGGACAATCTCGTTCACCCAATGATACATATCGGCTATGGTCTGGAGTTTGGAATACCCGGCCTTGTAGTTGAAGGTATGCGAGTGTTTCCCAGAATGCGCATTCACTGACGCACGTAGGACTTGCGTTGGCTGCAACTCTTAAAGGCGATCGCGTCGAACCTTTGTTCCCGTCATCGCTCTTTGCAAATTTGGATCTCACAGAAACGAAACTTCAGAACCTCGACTCGAAATCATCCACTGCCAGAACTAACCTTCATGCTTTCAACCTACTCAATCGTGTCATCAAAAATCCTTCATTTGACGGAACTCTTGATCCACAGACGTTCTTTGATGATACAGTCAACGCCCATTGGAAGGTGTTGAGCGACTATGCACAGGAATGGGCACTCGATATCTCCGATTCCGGAACAGCACTATCAAAGATAGAAGAACTCCACTGGACCGTCAGTCTTCTCTATGCTGTCAACGGCGTCAACAAAGCCAGCAAAGGTAGTCCTATCCATGCCGACTTCTTCCTGTAAGCATTCATCCACCAACCTAGGCTCTTCACTCATTTCTCCACTTGTAGCATGCATCTCGTAACCTCATCCTTATTCCTGCCGTCATACATACCCTCCCTCTCCCTTGCGTCTCAGAAAGTCCTCCTACAGGCCTACATGACCGTAGTGCTCGCCTGGTGGGTATCTCGTGGACGACAAGCACTCGACATTGCGCAGTTCTACGCCTCCGCGACAGCCACTCCTACGCTTCCGCTGTTCACAACGAAATATCCCTCGTGGGCACTCGCACGGTCCTCAGAGAACCCTTGGTTCGCTGTCAGTCAGCATGCGATTTTCCACCCAGATGACCACTTGTGCAAGATACAGCGTGCGCTAGCGCACTATGCGGCGATGTACGGGACTCGACCAGCTCGTCATTTCGCTGGGACGGAGTTACCAGGTGCAGAGCTTCTCGATGGTACCTTGTTTATTCGGGCGGCAGGGCGTACAGCTGAGAGGACCTCGCAGGCGTCAGATGAGGGAAAGGAGTTCGTGTGGGATGTCAGCTGGGTGCAGCACGAATGATCGATCCCATCTGTAGACAGTAACTTACTTGCAAGAATGAAATTCAAGGTAACGAAACGAGCGTGTAAAATAAGGTTGTGCTACACGTAACGACAGCAACAATAAAAACGTTTACACGTTGAACAAGTAGATGGTATATGATATGCGCGACAGATAGCGACAATATATACAAGATGCAATCGACAAATAAAGAAAAAGGAACAGACTCTACATACTGACCATATTCATAGCATATCATAAATCATAGACATCTCATCTCCAAGCTGGCCTGCCAGATGGAGCACCATTCTTGTTGCGTAGCTCACCAAAGCTCTTCGTCCTCTTCACCTCCGGCGCCTTCTTCTGCACCTTTTGCAGATCCTCGAAGCCCTTCACCATATCCTTGACACTCGCGCCACTGCTCCTACGCGGGCGCACCGCCTCTGCTGCCTTCTGCTTCTCCTTCTCTGGACTGATATGGTTCAGGTCCACGAGTCTCTTGGGCTGGACTTTACGCGGGAGCATCGACTTTGGCTTCGGCTCTTGGACGTGCTGCAGATCCACAAGCTCTTTCGGCGCCTTCGTCTTGGGACCGGGCGCCTTCACTGGCGTGTTAATAGGACCCCGCTCTTTACCCAGCAGTTCAAGTGGAGGAAGAGGAAGCTGATTGGGGCGTGGAGCTTGGCGCCTATTGACGGGAGCAGTCTTTGTACCCGATGGCAAGTAGGAGAATAGGAAGCCCTTTACGCGATGGCCGAGGCTTGTCCTAGGAGGTGGCCGCATCGAAAGCGCGGCAGGAGTCTGAAGAGGCGCGATGCTCTCTTCCTCACGACTTTGGTCGAATGAGTCGTCCATACTCGTATCCTCAGATTGCTCGGTCTCCGTCGACTTGTCTATGCTTTCATCGCCTTCCTCCTCTTGCTCTTCTTCTCCGGAAACAACCTCAGGCTCAATCAGCGCCATTTTCGGTCTGCCAGCAGAAATGGCGTGTGCTTCGTCTAATAGATGCGAATATCGAGGAGCATGGAGAAGCGATGGCTTCTTGGCTAAGAGGTCCTGGAATGGAGCTCCTTCAGGAGTGGCTTCAGGCAGACGGAACGAGGGAGCTGGAGTCTTCTTTGCGCGTGCAGGTGGCATCGCACGTCGTCCAAGAGGCGTGAAGTCAGGGATTTCCATACTTGCTTTGCGACCTCGAGCCGCCAAAGGAGTTTCCGTAATTGAATCCACAGCGCGTCCGGAAGAGCTACGAGGCGTCAACGGAGGGGCTACCTTCCCACTTCGCTGCCTGTTGGCAATCGCTAGCGTTCGACCTTCCAAGTCATACCTAGAAATATTGTCAGAACGATGAAAACCAAGTTATGAATGTCGCTTACTTTGTCCATTCTCCATATGGTACTAGTTCCTCAAATCTAGCGACCACATTGGCTATCTCAACATCGTCGACATGAGCCATGACATCGCCGCCTCCGACTTCGTACCGTTCCTCCGTGAAGCACATGTCGAGGGTCCTCCATTCCTCTTTGGACCAAACTCCACCGCCTTGAGCTATCTCTAGACGCTTCTTGTGTTCCACAGGTTGCTTCACGCTCTTCACCTCAACTTCGACCTGGTCAAGGAGATTGTCAAGCGTGATGGCAGGGCTTCCAGGAAACATGACTTTGTCTCCAATGACGCCACCTATGCTCCTTGGACGCTGCCTAGGAGGCGTCGCAAATGCGTTGCGTTTCTGGATACCACCCTCAATAGTCTTCCTGCGACGTTGATTCTCCCTCAGCTTGGTCTTGGTGTAGCAATCATAGTTATACTGTCAATGGAATGAGCAAAAAATATACTACTGTGGAGCGGAAAACGCATACCTGCTTCAGAATGGCAGCTACTGTAGCAGCAGCGTGCGGGTCCTTGCTTGAGATCTTGACTAGGTTGAAGTCGACTTCCTCGGAGTCGCTCTCACTCTCGTCATCATCCATACGCGTGGCAACTTGGGTTTGGACTTGCTGCGGAGCAGGAGAGAGATTCAAACGAGGGGTTGCGAGGTAGTGGGAATGAAGAGATGGATAAAGCTGGGGGGAAGGCGCGTCCTCCCTCTCGACAGACATGGCGCGAACTTCTTCCTCTTCGGCTTCGTCGTCACTGTCGGCGTGGTGCACGGATGGGAACGGTACGGGCGCAGACGCGTCTTCTTCCAAAACGGGTGACTCTTGGTCAAGGGAGATATCGTTCGGTTCTGTTGATGGAATCTGAGAAACGACGGCTGTATCACTGACTTCCGCTACTTCGGTGTTGGGCAGGGAAAGCTCCAGTTCATCGTTGCAGTTCATGGAGGCAGCGTCATCCTGAGGGAGGTCTGGCTGGGCAGCTGTGTCGTTGGGTTGTTGAACGTCCGGGTCATCATATTCGTCATCGTACTCGGCGATAGGTATTTCGTTGTTGTCGTCCTCTACCGCCATTTCCGTTGCCTCCTCTTGCTGGAGAGGGCCCGCTGTCTCATCCTCTTCATCGCTGTCTTCGGCGACTCTGCTAACCCGACGTCGGAAGGGATGAGGACTGATTGGTCGTCCCCAACTATCCATGCGAGAGCGGGTGGCGCTGCTTGGAGGGTCTTGCTTTGTTGGAACAAGCCTCATCGTCCACTTGCCCGTGTATTCGCCTTCTCCGCTCATCAACTCATCGTCATCATCGTCACTGTCTGTCCAAGCACCGCTGGCATTGGCGTCGCCGGCGTTGGGGAAAAGGACGTCCATTAGAGGTCGCGTCTCGACGTCCATGCTATCCGTAGACGCGCCCCAGTCATCCAAACGAGGGCTAGATGATTGCCGTGGAGGCGTCG